GTCCTCCTAGGCATGCATGAGGAGGATAAACCTGAAAATTCTTCTGCACACTAACACCAAGATCAAAATAGTTCACTCACAAAAATCAACAAAAATAAGGTATGGCAGTCCCCGGCAACGACACCAAAAACTTGATAGGGCAAGAGCGTAATGCCTCAATCCTATCTCGTAATAAAACTGGAAAGTCCGAGTATCGTCTCTTAGGGACTGGTACAACCTTATGATTTATCAGTTCTATGAAGCAAACTATAAGTGAAACTGGTTTGGTTGATGAAATTATTATCTAATAGCAAAATAATTAAACAAAACAAGCAAATTAAAATGGTCGGGAGAAATTCAACGGAGAAAGCTCTGGGAGAAACACCGGGACTCATTACCTATCATATCAAAATTAATTCATATATTCTAATTACTTTAATCCAATTCTCTACAGCCAGGATATCACAACTGTACTAGCTATCCCTGTCGGGAATTACTACGTACTAAACAATTAATTCAAATCCTACTGTCGTAGCTCAATGAATTAACTATTTAGCCTTAAGACCGACATCCCAATCAAGACTACATAGCATCTTATTTAATCCACTGTCGCTTCGATAAGTTGCTATGTCATATGAAATATGTTTAGTTATTAGGGTTTCACTGTCGCTAATAACCTAATTAACTACAAATCGTTGTATTGGTGGCCAGTCAACACAAAGCATTAAGTAATTTCATGCAATAGAGATTGGAAGAAAAGAAATATGAATCAATCCATCAAATATAAAAATAGCTACATCCTATGGTGTCTCCCCCATAAATTGGGGTTTAGTTCATGATGAAAATAAAACACACAATCATGTTTATAATCATCATCGTACAATTAAAGTTAAAGAAAAAATACTGAGATTATGGAACGTAATCCCAACACCAATTCCTTCTCGTTCCAATTGCTTGTTGCTGCTCACGAATTGCTCTGGCGCTGCGCTCCTCACCAGCCTAGTTATTCTGCTAACTTGAAGATTCGTTAGTATATACTAACTAATATGCAAAATGTATGAACTAATATCCAAGTCTGCTAAGTATCTAGATAGCACAGACTAGTATTCAAAACATCACAAACTAGTATCCTGATAGCAGATACCAACTAATATCCACAATCAACCAACTAGTATTCAATATGGATACTCTTATCGGTTATCTTGGTACTCTTATGTGTTATCTTGATACTAATTATGTGCTGTTTGGATACTATTATGTGTTGTCTAGATATTTGTTTGTGAATTTGAGATAATAGTTGATTCATGGTGGATATTAGTTAGCAATCTTTGAATACTAGTCTGTTCTCTCTAGATACTTTAGTACTTAGATATTAGTTCAGGTATTTTGGATATCAGTTAGTATTTGTTAACGAATCTTCAAGTTAGCAGATTAACTTTCCCCCTCCTCACTGCTTTCGCGGCTCTGCGCTGCTGCGTCCTATTCTCCCCCGGCTTGCGATTGTTGTGTCCAATTAATTCCTCCCCAAAAAGAATTCCTTGTCCCCGTAAAATCCCTCCAGAAGATGAAAAGAGATGATCCAAAATAATCTCCTAATGCCCCCAATTCTCCTCCAATTATCAATGCCCTTTGGCCCGTAATTTCCTGGCCGCCAATAACCACCTCCTCCGGTCCAAGTAATTCCCTTCCTTCTGGCCCATCTTCTTTCACCAAAAGCAACGTTCCCGGTCCAAGTTCCCTCTACTCTACCGTTCCAAATCATTTGAAGAATAACCCAAACTGGTTTGGTTTTGGGTCGGGTGCTGAAGTGCTTTTCTACCATTGAGTATTTGCATTCATTTTTCCTTGCTTTCCACCTATAACGTATCAAAATTCTAACACATGGTGGTAATGGTCTTATAGCCATTTCAGGGTCAGTCGTCTCTAAAACAAGCATTATACGTCTCAAACGTATCATTAAATAATCACATTAAACACATAATATCAATATGTTTTCAACAATTTTATGTGGCTATGATAGAGCTCCGGATCAAGCTCTATCGGAAGATTGGGGATTAGGGATCAATTAGGGATTGATCCGGGAAATTGGGGAAATGAGGGAAGAGGATTTAGGAGTTGAAACGAAGAGAAGGGAGGGAAGGAAGAGGCTGCCGATTGGCAGCTTGAGAGGGAGGAGAGGGTGCTCGGCAGAGAGAGGGAGGGATTAGTTTTTAGGTTTAATCTTGCTTAGTGGCCTAATCCCACTTACAAGTTATTTATATAATAATTGGCTAATTTCCGAATACTACCCGACAAATAATTTATCCCCCAACTTCCCGAAATAGTCCCAATAATCTGAAATAGCAATAATCCGACAATTACTGAAATTAACTAAATACTGGTTTCTATCATCCCCGCTTCCTTCGAAAAACAACCTTGTCCCCAAGGTTGTTCCTCTAACTCACTGGGTCTCCTCCTTGCCATTTCCGACTTCCTCGGCCTCATCTTCCGCTTCACTTCCCAGCGTCCAACTAGCATCATCAAGTCCGGCTTCGGGCACTGGTGCCCGATGGTGAACCGACCATCACAATTGAAGCAGTTGCCCTCCCGCCTCTTCTGCGCAATCTCGGCTGGTGACAGTCGCACGAACCCTTTTGGTATGGGCCGCGGCCCCATCCTAGCCATCGGGGCAGGACCTCCACTGCCAATGTTAGCCCCGGTCGAGCCTCCCCCGGACGCCCCTCCCGCGCCTCCACTACTCCCGCTACTTCCTCCCCCTCCACCTGACTTCGGAAAGCGGCCAATGACGCTCCTCCAGCTAGCCAGCTCTTCCTCTTTATGACCTGCAAGACGGAAAGCCGCCTTCAGGGACTCAGGCTCGAACACCCTGACTGCCGCTGCTATCTTGGGCTTAAGACCTGCCATGCACAGCCCCACTAAGGTGTCCTCTAAGACTCCTTTACACTGGTTCCCCAACTTGAAGAACTCTGCACGGTATTCAGCCACCGTGCCGGTCTGCTTCAGTTTGGCAACTGCTCGGGGGCCCACCCATCTGACTTCCCAAACTGATAGCGGAGCTCCTCCTAAAACATAGGCCAAGTGATCAGAGTGGATGCGGCTGCGTAAGACCGCTCCATCCACTCCCACCACTGGAGTGCATCTCCCTCCAGATAAAATGATGCCAGATAGGCCTTCCTCTCCTCCGGAATCGGGTGGTTTCTAAACCACCTCTCAACTGCATATAGCCAAAGACCTGCATCCTCTTGCCCATTGAATTTTGGGAAACTCAATGATCGGAGGCTTAGCTCGAAAGACTACTCCATCCATGTCCTCATAGTTCATGTAGTGGGACCCATACCTGTCATTTCCTGGAGTCCTCCAAGGCTGCCCGAAAGAAGAGCCCGGCATCCGGTTCGGATTCTCATGGCCATAGTCACCCGGATAGCTGCCTGGCAAGTTCGGGTACCCTCCTGTCGCATGAGGCACCCCGTATGGACCCTCCCAACTGGCTGGTTCCCTGCTGTCCACCCTCCTGTTCTGATGAGCAGTCGGACTCGGGCGATGACCGGTCCGACCCACCTCCGGTCGACCCATCCCTGCCCGACCCGGCCCGGTTCGACTCACCTCGGCTCGGTCAGCATCGGCCCGACCGATTCCTGGCCGCCCAACCGGTTCGGCGGTCCTCCTCAGCCCACTCGGCCCCCTCTGGTCCACCTCTGGTTCAGCCCACTTGGCCTGTCGATCCGCTAGGCTAAGTTCCTCACTCTCGGGCCCATCCTCCAAATCCAACCACCCCAGCCCGTTATGGATCTTCGTGTATTGGCCCATCAGCTCCGGCCCACGGTTCATGAGAGGCCCGTCTATGTCATAACCGGGCATCTTGGCCTTCCCCTTCCGGGCCGCAATCTCTTGGGCCGTAGGCGTCGGTAGCAGACCCGGGCCCACACCTAGCCCGACCTGCGTTGGGCCTGTCCCCGATCCGCTTTCGCCGGCTCTCGGCCCGGTCCCGGCCGTCGCCAGCGCCGCCGGCTCTCTCTCTGCCGCCTCGAGCCCCGCGCCTGGGTCGGCGGCCACCGCCCTCGTCGCCGCCCTTCCTCCTTCAGCGGCCGCGCCGCCTTCGTCGCCGCACCCTCGCCGCCGGACACACCCCCCAGGCCCGATCCGCCCGCCGCGGCGACCGCCAGCGCGCCCGTGCCTCTGGTGGGGCCGCCGCCTCCTCCTGCTCGCCCCAGGGCCTCCGCCAGCATCGCCTTCAACTCGCCGATAGCGAGCCACATCTTTTGTGACTCCGCCTCCCGGGCTCGCGCTTCCGTCTCTCTAGCTCGTTCGCCCTTCAGTCGGGACCGGCGCTCCTGCTCCATGGCCTCTGCCATCTTGGTCATCTCAGAACGGAGCTCCTCTCCCAGCGTCTCATCCACCATCTCTCCATCCCGTGGGCCGGGAAACTCGAGCGCGCCATCGCCGTTGGGCAGGGGTCCGGTCGCCGCGATCGCCGCCTTTGCGGCCGCCTCCTGCGCCGCCTTGGTGGTCTTTTCAGCTGCAGCCATGGATTTAGTTGATACCATCTCGATCGTTGTTCTTCTGTGTTCAGGAATCAAGAACCAGACTCTGATACCAAATGATAGAGCTCCGGATCAAGCTCTATCGGAAGATTGGGGATTAGGGATCAATTAGGGATTGATCCGGGGAATTGCGGAAATGAGGGAAGAGGATTTAGGAGTTGGAACGAAGAGAAGGGAGGGAAGGAAGAGGCTGCCGATCGGCAGCTTGAGAGGGAGGAGAGGGTGCTCGGCAGAGAGAGGGAGAGAGGGAGGGATTAGTTTTTAGGTTTAATCTTGCTTAGTGGCCTAATCCCACTTACAAGTTATTTATATAATAATTGGCTAATTTCCGAATACTACCCGACAAATAATTTATCCCCCAACTTCCCGAAATAGTCCCAATAATCTGAAATAGCAATAATCCGACAATTACTGAAATTAACTAAATACTGGTTTCTATCAAGCTAGAACGAGTGTTGTGTAAATTTGTAAATCCAGAGGTTCTAAAGATTGTTATTATTAGAATAAAGCACCAACATTGCTCTACAAATGAAAGAACAGCTGAGCAAAAAATGTACAACTATAGGAGAACGTGGAAATTCTACAAATGAAAGAAGCAGAGATGGAAAAATGCTCCATTTTTTTTTTTGGCGTGCATGCGCAAGTGTTCAAAACACAGCACCTTATTCTGGTTGCAAATTCACAACACTTTCAGGTCGACCACACTGGTAAATTAAAGAAATATTGCTCAACTGTACGTTCTTAGTATAAAGCATCAACATTACACTCCCCCAGGTAAACTTTGATGCTGCGAGGCGATCCACAGTGGCCATCAGCAATCAGTGCTCTGTCGTTTGCTGCCATATGGGCTATGATCTTGTATATCATTTCGATCTGCAAAATACAAAAAGGGGAACAAGTTTAGCCGAAGGGCAATCAAATACTCTGTTGCTTGGGAAAATGGAAGAACGGGTAGTATTCTGAACCGAACATACATCCTCTGGGGCATGGCAGTGGTCAGCTACTTCCTCAAGCGTCAATGGCTCCACAGGATCTTTACAGCTACACATAACAAAAACAAGACTGGTCTCAGCAATCAAAAGACTACCTTACAAATGGACCTTAAAAAATGTTTCTTAGCAACAAACAATTGAATAACATGAGAGGACGAAGGGCTCTCGACATCTATTATCTTTCAGATGATATGCATATATGACTTCTCCTACCTTGCCTCGTTCAGTACTGCCAAAACCCGCTTCTGAAGAGCTAATACTTCTCCTGCTGCTTTTTTCCCAGCTTCCACGCCTGAGATTACAAACAAATGGTCAATGTGGATGAATGATAGACTTGGACTACTCAATGCATGCACAGAACGGGCATAAAACGCTCAACCCTCTTTCATGAAGTCCACACCAAAGCATATCACTGGAGGGAAAAAGACAGTTGTATATTTATAATTTACCAGGTTGATGGTAGGCATTGATGTTGACTAGAGAGGCATACAATCCTACTGCTCGCTCATAGAGTGCAATAAGAGCCCCTACTGATCTTGGTGTCACCTCTTGTACTGTTACTGACACAGATTCCCGGTCATTAGCGTATAGAGCTGACCTAGTTCCCTGCAATAATTTCAAATCAATTTTACCATCTTCATAGAAGTCCAGACAATTAGCTATCAACTTCCATCTCACACATCCATAGGTGTTTCTTAAGTGAGTATTTGACCTGTAGCATTCCAAATAAATAGTCACCACAAGTAACCCCTGGTTCCAGTTCCCAATCATGACCAGGGGGCCTATCACGCAGAACTTCAATGAAGGTCACGAAGAAATTGTGCACACCCTCTCTCAGTTGTTGAATGTATCTAAAAGATTGAAAATGCAGATGCGTCAGATCATGTATATATGGCGCTGCCATATTTAATATGGACAAGGGACAACAACTAAGACCAGTACTAAGAATGAGAGAAAAGAAGAGAAGTTCAAACTTACGCATGCTGATCTGTACTCCCTTTATTTCCATACACTGTAAGTCCTTGATTCACCTTTAAAGAATCGGATAGTTAGCATGTAAACAATCAAATGCAACATGTCCAGTATAACAAAACACTCCCCCGAACATAAGGAACAAGGTTCCGTAGATAACAAGATTTCACTTCACACATCAAGCCCATTTCAACTAACATGATGAAATGTAATTGAATTTGTTCATCCTTTGTTGCAATGCTTAACTTAACACTTCAATTGAATGATTGGAAGCCAGAACCTGTCAAACTAGTGACTGAATTAATGGCCTTTAAAGGTCCCATGTTGTTCAAGTGTACAACCATGTAGTAGGATTTGTCCAATTTAAAAAATCCAACATATAAACAAGTCAAAGAAAATATATATTAAAAGCCATGCCCAAATTCTGGAAAAATAACTTATAAAATTAACCTCTAAAATGCATAATTTTATGTCACCAACAGCCCAACCTAAGCATTGCATCTCCAAGTTAAAGTTAAAAGCAGTAGAACATCTAGAATGTGATATAAGGATAACTATGTCCATAGCTTCATACCCTATTACCATCAAGGTCAAACTCCTTCCCGATAGATTCCATGACCAGCTGCTGCAGATACCGACTAAATAGCAATAGACTATCCTTGTATGGAAGGACAACCATATCCTGCAGAGTCATTTAATGTGAAGAAATTAAAGCCAGTTAGTGATTGGTCATTCGAATTATAAAGAAACTCCAGAGAGAGTTAGATTTTGCTTGAGATTAATACCTTGGATCCTACCCCATCCGAGGCCCAATACCAGCATAAAGCTAGTAGAGCTGCTGGGTTATTCCTAAGCTGAGAAGAAGAAACAATCGATGAGAGCTGTGATTCTACACATGAACCACAAAGAAGAAACAATCATGTGACCAAAATGATACCAAGCTTCGCAATCTATAAACTGATATCTGATACTTACATCTCTGCTTCTAGTTGCCTCATCCATTAGGGCTGCACCAGTAAGCATTTCTCTAATGTCAATCCCCTGCACGGAAGATAAACCAAAATGATTATAACCAACAGCCATGTTAATAATAATGACCATATATGATGTACCTGAAGCGCTGCTGGCAGTAGGCCAACTGCAGACATTACAGATGTCCTGCCACCAACCCAGTCAAACATAGGGAACCTAGCCAGCCACCCTTCAATTCTAGCTGTATTATCTAATAGTGAATTTTCCTGCGTTATGGCAACACCCTGCACCACAATATCACTCAGCACTATGACCAAAATGAACAGGGAAGGGGGAAAAAATGCATATACGCAGGAGAATCAGAAGTATCTCTCCATGCAGGAATGCAAGGCTATAAGAAAGTGATTCAAGACATTTATGAAACAGGTGATCAGGCTGCATATGGTTTATCCTGAAGGGTAACGATTCACACGAGAGGGAGAGAGAGAGAGTCCCAAAAGTAATGGTCTTAGCAAAAACATCATAAACAGAAAGAAGAACCTGAGGTCAAAACCTGTTTTGCGAAATCAAGACCAGCTTCACGGAAAGCCTTCTGTACTTCAAGAAGACCATTTCTAGTTTCAGGAGTGCCTCCACTCTGCAAGGGGAATGATTGAGACCTTCTTACACTTTAATCAGGAGGTCATGCACAAAGAACAACTGGAAAAAGGACCAGAAGAGTTTAAAACCAACAAGATCTGACTGTATCCTATACCAACCTTAGAAGTCACTATCACAAGGGTAGAAGCTAATTCAGAGCCAAGCTGAGCGACCTGATGATCGATTCCTGCTGGATCCGTATTGTCAATAAACCTTATCTGCATGATTGAGAAAGAAAGAGCTCAAATTCAACCAATGCCTCACTGCAAGTACTATAACCAGAAAGAATTTTACGAGAAAGAAAATTCAAAACCATTGTTCATTAGGTGGGGAGATAAGATTACTTTGAGAGGAGGGTTATCTGGAGCCAAAGCCTCCGCAACAAATTGTGGTCCAAGAGCCGAGCCCCCAATGCCCACAGCCATTATTTGAGTAAACCGGCCAGCCTCCGAAGCTGGGGGTTTAATCTGTAATGCACAATAACCGTCAACGAAATGGGGGAATCGCCATGAGATATGAATTACTACATTCAGCAACAGAGACCAAAAAGTAGAAACAAGCATAGAACCCAGTGGTTGGTCTGCCACAGCAAAACTGACCTTACCGCTGACGATTTCATCAGCGAAGGTACAAATGCAATCAAGCGTGCTCTCAATCTGCGTTTTCAGAAAGGGAGTGGGAGTGAGCTCCGAATTCCTCAGCCAATAATGGCCGACCATCCTGCCTTCATCGGGATTGGCAATCGCGCCCTTCTCCAAACCCTCCATGGCATCAAACGACTGCTGAAACCGAGGCTCCATCTCTCGGAAGAATTCATCGGTGAAGCCAATCCTGCTAACATCCAGATAGAGCCCCAGGTCCTTATGCTGATACAGCCAGTCAACATACCTCCTCCACAGCGCCTGAGGATCTTTCTCGAGCCCTTTCTTCGGCTTCCCGGGGACGCTGTTCCCGCCGGACTTGGAAGAGTCGGCTGCGATCTCGCGGGCGACGGAGTGAGCGGCGACATCGAGGGGTTTGGAGGAGCGAATGGGGAATGAGAGGGAAGTGGGCTTGCCGGGAAATGGAGGGTTGAGGACGGTCTTGGGGAGAGAAGCGGCCGGCTTGGGCTTGAGTGATGGAGAGGAAGAGCATAAGCTGGAGAGGGACGCCATTGAAGGCGGCGAGTGGAAAGGCGTTTCTCTCTTTCTTTTTTGTTTGATCCTCCGGCGGAAGAGATGGTTACAAGAAAAGGACGGAAAGAGACAAGGATGGGAGAGAGAATCAAAGTCACAGTCCGTCTTCCATGGCTGGCTAGCTACAAAGCCTGGCCGCTCTAGATATTTGTAGCCACTGGCGCTCTAGATAAATGTGGTTGATTTGTTGGGTGTTTGGCCGTTGAATTTTGCCCTTTCTAGGACCGGGTACGGGTTGGATTTTGTTTCGTCTGGGTTGGGTTGAGTTGGGTGTCATGATGTGTGTTGTGCTTGTAGGTTGACCGGGCCGTGCCGCCAACGGGCTAGTACGGCTCGGTTAGAGCACGACACGATCACGGGTACGAAATAAATAGGCCAGCCCGGCACGAGCACGAATAATTTATGGGCAGTGCCGAGGCTAAACTTCTTGGGCACGGGCACGAGCACAGGCACGACACGGTATATAAGTGGGCCGTGTCGGGCCTAATATTTTCGAAAGTTTATTGAGTATAAGAAGTGACATGACACGAAAATAATATTTATTTTATAGAAAATAAATATAAAAAGAATTATAGATTCAAATATTACAAAACACAAGTAAAAAAATATTATTTGTTGTTGTTAGAAGTGTCATAAAGATATATACGTAATTACTAACATAAGTAAAAGTGGACAAAGAATTAAACAAAGTCAAATCACACTACCTATGCTTCCAATTTTCTTTCCCCCCTACTTGTTACTTTTCTCAAACATTATCTGTTAATACTAACTTCCCCCGTTCAATTTTCACCTTCTTTTTCATTCTCTCTTTTGTTTTCGTCCTTTTCATTAAACACGAATACGAGCATGGCACGAGCATGAATAGGCACGACACGATTCGAACCGTGCCCGGGCCTGGGCCGGGCTTAGCAAAGTTGACAAATGGGCTTGTATGGCACGACACGAAAACTGACGGGCCGTGCCAAGCACGACACGAAATAAATGGGCCCGAAGCGTGCCCGTGTCGTGCCGGCCCAAGCACGGCCCAACGCCCATGTACAGTTGTGCTATTGTTTTCTTTGATCGGGGTTGGTTATGTTTATGACGTATGGCATCGAAATGACTCGGGAATTTGAACATAATTATCATACTAGTACCGTGCCCGACCCGTTGGACGGAAGAATTTTGTCGAGAAATATGGTATATAATAATGGATATAATATATGATTTGAAATGCATGAAATGATTGTTTTCTATCTTAGTTATGCACATAACATTTTTGAAAGTGATCCAATTATGCATAATGTGTTTAGACCTCCATGAAAAGAGAAAAAAATATAATATACGCATTACATATAATTATTAAATGAAAAAAGAATATAACTAATTAGCATCCATTACTTAATGAAATCATATAACTAAATATTATAGTTGCTTCTCATAATACATACATAATCAACTTTTAGGATGAAAGAAAATGTTTCATAAAGTTTAGTATGTCCTTTAAGTTTTTCCCAATAGAGAGCATTCTTTTTTACCACACTGTTGGTAATGAATCTGAAGTTGCTTGATTTGAAATATATAAGACATGTGTTAGAAACCCAATTCCCGTGGGTTTCTCTATTTGTTTATAGTAGGATAATTATTATTCGGTTTAGTAGTATTTGGGTTGAATTAGGTTATTTAGTAGGGTTTTCCCTTATTTCCCTATAAATACGTAACTTGGGTTTACGTCATAAAAAAGCAAGGAAAATATTAAGAATAGTATCTATCCCTAATCTCTCCCATAAACCCTAGGAGTGGGCATCGATTCGGTTCGGTTTCGACCGAACCGAAAGTGAGTATACAGAGTCCCCCGAACTCTCTACACATGAAACTGATTTTGAACCGAAATATAATTTGGTTCGGTTTGACCAAACCGAATTGTATTCCGGCTCGGTTCGGGATCCTGACAAACCCGAAATTTCCCACACCCTTCCCTTGCCTTCTTCTTTTCTTCCTCTGCCTTCCGCTTTTTCAGTACGCAACTTCCTCTCTCTACCCAAAAAATACGCTTTCTCTTCCTCTCTTCCACCTCTTCATCTCTGCTACTCTTCTTCCACCACCAACGCCTCTATCAAACCCTCTCGATCTCTCTCTGCATGGGACAAAATGCCGCCGGCCCGTCCTCTCCGAGCAGTTCATCGCTCAGCTAGGTCGAGAACTCTGTCGTCGATGCCACACTGAGCTCCGTCCGTCGCCGAGTTCGCCTTCTCCCCAGGTCCTGCTTGCCAAGTCCGCCACTCACCCATTTTGAGAAGAGGAAGCGATGGCGAAAGACAAGGCAGGGGAGAGCATGCAGTGGCTCGTTAAGCCGAGCATGTCGCCCCGGATCCCGCCGCCGCTCCTGCAGATCCCGCCTCCTTTCCTTGCCAATCCCCCCGCCGCCGAGATGCCCGCCCTAGTCTATTTACCCGCCGAGGAGCGGCGAGATGTGCCATGGATCTAAATCGTGGTGGATCTGAAATTGACTGCTTGCCGAGACGGACAAAAGATGAGAATTGACAATGGTGGCTGCTTGCCGTCTCTTTAGGTTAGAGATGTGAATTTTTGTGGTGGTGGGAGGTGACAGGTGAGTGCCGAGAGAGGATTTGGGCTTAGGATTGTGACTATGTGGGTGGGGTGGGGTGCGGTGGGGGGGGGGGGGGGGGGAATTGGGCTATGGGCTTAGCGTTTTGACTTTTTGGGGGGAATTGGGCTATGGGAAAGTGGATTTTTTTGGCTCTGCGGGTTTGGGTTGGGTAATGTACTGGGCTCAGTTAGCATTCAGCCCATGTTTCGGTTTGTCGGTTCAAAAATCAGAAAATCGGTTCGGTGGAGAGAACCTTGGTTTCCGAAGTAGTCAGTTTTCTGTTGCGAATTCCGAACCGAATAAGAATAGTTCGATTTCAGTTCGGTTTTAATCGGTTTCGGTCCAGTTCGGTTTGAGTTTACCGAACCGGATGCCCACCCCTAATAAACCCTCTCAAATCTCGTCCTCTCTCTCCCAAGGTCGCCGGCCATTCTATCCCAACTCTTCCCATTTCTGTTCTTCTATCTAAATCCCTAATTTCTTATCCCGATCCCTAAATCCCTCTTTGTTACGTATAATCACGAGTGCCGAAGATCAGTCTCTAGAAGCCCTAAGAAGTGGGTTTCTTACAGTGGTATCAGAGCCCGGTGGCAGGCACTCGTACCATGGTTAAGGCCAACTCCGAGATCTCACTTAGAGAACTCACATCATATTTGAAGCTGAAACTTGAAGTGGCGACGAGGAATAATGATTTCCACGTTGCCTCATCCATGCCGCTGCCACCAAAGTAAGAAAGAGCAGTAGTCGCTGCTGTTGGGGGTGTGACCAAGGAGCAGATGACTTCGACGAGTACAGCCACGATGATCTCCCCAATCACCGGCGATGAAATATGTCAAGTCGCCCAGGTCTTCAAACAACCGCAGTCGTTGGTGATCACCGTCGAGCCACCGATGAAAGAAGACCGATCGGCGTTGCTCGAGACTACCATTGCTCCACCGCCGTTGTCAAAGACAGCTGCAGCAACGACGCTGCTAACCAAGTCGGCAGAGAGAAGAACGCAGCCGAGTCGCGCGATGAATTGGCGGTTCAGGAAGAAGAAGCCTGTTAGAGTAGTCAAAGAGTAAAGGAAATACCACATTGGTGGGAGAAGGAAAGTGCAAGTTTTTTTTAAGTTTGCTTTTCCACTTTAGTTATTGGATAAAGTAGTTAGTGGGCTTTTGAAAAAAGTGTGGACTATTTAATTTGACATATTAAATCGCAATACGCGTTCGGATTTGAATTTGAATTTTTGGCTAATTAATTACCAGAATTATTTTAATTAATTCATCCAGATGATTATTTGATTTTGAATTTTGTGAAACGACGTAACCCTTCGGAAGGGAACTGCCGTTTTCACTATAAAAGTCTGCACCCGAATTTCTGTTCCAACGTTCATCTTCTTCTCCTTGTTTTCCTTCTTCAAAAACACAAACACAGAAGTCACGAAAGGTGCTGCTTTCAGACTTTGATTGGAGGGACTCCTGGGGGTGGTTTGCCTAAATCCTACCAGCAACGAAGTAGTGGGGGCAAATAAACACTCTAAGGAGAGTGATCAAATCACGCTTTCAATCATTCTCTTCCATACTATTTCCCTGACAATCTTAGAGTGTTTATTTTCGAGTGACAATGGATTCTGGAGTGGAGAGAACTTTGAAGGCGTATGCCTCTGATTCCAACAAACTCAATCGGTTTGATGGAACAAATTTCACCCGCTGGCAAGAGAAGATGAAGTTTCTGTTGACTGCTTTGAAGATCGTGTACATACTGGATCCTGATTTGGTGCCGCTAGAAGAACCACAAGACACTGACTCTGATGAATTGAAGGCTGAGCGCAAGAAGAGGAGTGATGACAGCCTGCTGTGCCGAGGATACATCCTCAATTCACTATCTGATCGTCTCTACGATCTGTATTCCCAGTTGGTGACCCCTACTGAAATTTGGACATCTTTGGAGAACCAGTACAAATAAGAGAAACAAGGCGCAGATAAGTTTGTCACGTTCCAGTTCTTTGAATTTAGCATGACTGATAAGCGTTCAATTCTGGATCAAGTTCATGAATTCCTAATCTTGGCCTCTAAGTTCACTGCGTTGAAGATAACACTTCCTGATGCGTTTCTGGTGGGGGCAATTATTGCGAAGTTGCCTCCATCATGGAACAACTATAGGAAGAAATTACTTCATACGTCAGAGGAGTTCACTTTGGAGCAGATTCAGAAGCACCTTAGGATCGAGGAGGAAACTCGTATCCGTGACAAGGATCTAAATTCGGGGGCACCATCAAGTTCCAAAGTGAATGTTGTGGAGAGAAAGAAGGGAAAGAAGAGAAAGGCCATGAATAATTCCAACAACCAGACCAACAACCAGAAGAATAAAAAGAAAAAACCGTCCCCTATGTCCACTAAGAATTGTTTTAATTGTGGGCAATTGGGACATATTGTTCGTTTCTGTCCTAATCCAAAGAAGAACCAGAACCAGAACGAAGGGGCTGCAAGTGCAAATTTGATTGAGAAAGTTGAGCCTAGTGAGATTGTTGCAATGATTTCTGACTTACATGTGAGTATGATTCAGGAATTGCACATGGCTGGAGTCATGACCAATGCTGATTGGTGGTATGATTCGGGGGCAACTGCTCACATTTGCAACAAGAGAGCCATGTTCAAGGACTACACAGAGTCAACGGAGGGACATGAGGTTCTGTTGGGTGATCATCGCACGATCAAGGTTCTTGGATCTGGAACCGTGGAGCTTTTCTTCACCTCGGGAAAGAAAGTTGTTCTCACCAATGTCCTTCACGTTCCTGATGTTAGAAAGAAATTGGTTTCTGGTTTCATGCTTTGTAAGAAGGGGATAAAGGTTGTGATAGAATTTGATAGGGTGATTCTGACCAAGGCTGGTATGTTTGTTGCGAAGGGCTATGTTAGTGATGGTATGTTTAAGTTAAGTATTGACAATGATAACATTAATAACAAAGTTGATGGTTCTGCTTATATAGATGTGCATGCAAATTATAGTATAGAAAGTACTTCTTTTGATTTATTGTATAATCGATTGGGGCATGTTAATTTTAAGACTCAGAAATACATGTCTAGAAATGGTTTAGTAGTTTGTGGTGATGACAGTGGAGATAAATGTGAAATCTGTGTGCAAGCTAAGATGAAGAGAAAGCCATTTCCTAAGTTGGTTGACAAAAAATCAGAATTGTTAGAATTAGTACATTCTGATATTTGTGAATTTCATGGTTAATTAACTAGAGGAGGATGTAGGTACTTCATTACTTTCATTGATGATAGTACTCGGTTTACCTATGTCTATTTAATGCAAACCAAGGATGAAGCCTTTGATAAGTTTAAGTTGTATAAATCTGTTGTTGAAACTCAAAAGGGTAGGAAAATACAAATCCTTCGAAGTGACAGAGGTGGAGAGTATTTTCCAAATAACTTTAACGAGTTTTGTGAGCAACATGTTATAATACATCAAAGGACTGCTCCTTACACCCCACAACAGAATGGAGTAGCAGAAAGAAAAAATGGAGTTCTTCCTGACATGATTAATGCTATGTTGATGAATGCTAGTGCTCCAAATAATTTGTGGGGTGAGGCTTTGCTAACAGCCTGCCATGTACACAATAGGATTCCGTCTAAAAAGCTAAGGGAATCTCCCTATGAGTTGTGGAAGGGAAGGAAACCGAACTTGAGTTATCTTAGAGTTTGGGGCTGTCTTGCTTTCTACAGAGTCCCAGATCCTAAGAGAACTAAGTTAGGACCACGAGCTTTGAAAGGTGTTTTTCTTGGATATGCAGAAAACTCAAAAGCCTATAGGGTTCTAGATTTAGAATCTAATGTGGTTGTGGAATCGAGAGATGTTGAGTTCTTTGAGAACAAGTTTCGACGTGACTCTGCAAATGTAGAACCATGTCGAGTTACTTCTGTAGATTCTTCAAATGAGTCTATCTCTGCTCCCGCTTTTGACATTGGTTCTAGTAGCAAAAGGCCTTTAGATGAACCTGCTGCCAATGAACCATGAAGAAGTCAAAGGGCTCGAAAGGAAAAGAGTTTTGGTCCAGAATTTATTGATCCTCAAGATATAGTCTTTCTTGTAGAGGGAGATAGGTTAAATAAGGTTACAAGAAAGATACCCATTTTGTTCCATGTGCAAGACGATCCCAAAACCTATCAAGAAGCAATGGTTTCTAGAGATTCTGCCTTTTGGAATGAGGTTGTTAATGATGAGATGGATTCATTATTAATAAATAAGACTTGGTTTCTTGTGGACCTGCCTCCTGGATCTAAGGCTATTGGATGCAAATGGGCATTTCGCATTAAGTATAACACAGATGGATCAATACATACCTTCAAAGCTAGACTGGTTGCAAAAGGGTTTAGGCAAAAGGAAGGAGTAGATTGCTTCGACACCTATGCACCAGATGCAAGAATCACTTCCATAAGAGTGCTTTTAGCCTTGGCTTCTATTTACAATTTGCATGTACACCAAATGGATGTAAAGACGGCATTCTTAAATGGTGAGTTAGATGAAGAAGTGTATATGGAGCAAACAGAAGGGTTCGTGTTGCCTGGAAATGAAGGAAAGGTGTGTAAATTGCAAAAGTCATTGTATGGACTTAAGCAAGCACCTAAACAATGGCATGAGAAATTTGATTCTGTTGTTTTGGCTCATGGATTTTCTCATAACTCTGCTGATAAGTGCATTTATTCAAAGTGCACAAAAGAGTATATGGTCATTATATGCCGTTATGTTGATGATATGTTGATAATAGGAACTAACATGAAAGGCATAAATGAGACCAAAGAGTATCTAACTTCTTGCTTCCAAATGAAAGATCTTGGAGAAGTAGATACTATATTGGGCATCAAAGTAATGAAACATAGTGGGGGTTTTGCTTTGAGTCAGTCACATTATGTCGAGAAGATGCTCAAGAAATTCGAGCATTTGGATATAAAGGAGGCTAACACCCCTTATGATGCATCATTTAAGCTTTGGCGAATGAGGGAAGGGCAGTGGCACAAGTTGAGTATTCTAGTGCTATTGGAAGTTTGATGTATGCAATGGGATGTACTAGGCCCGATATTGCATTTGCGGTGGGCAAACTTTCTAGATTCACTAGTAATCCTAGTGCCGATCATTGGAGAGCTATAGGAAGAGTCTTTGGTTATTTGAAAAGAACCAAAGATTTGGGACTCTTCTATAGCAATTTCCCCGCCGTACTAGAAGCATTTTCTGATGCTAGTTGGATCACGAGCGCTAGTGATAATAAATCCACAACAGGATGGATTTTTACACTAGGTGGTGGAGCTGTTTCTTGGGCTTCGAAGAAACAAACATGTATTTCACACTCCACTATGGAAGCCGAATTCCTAGCCCTTGCGGCGGTTGGAAAAGAAGCAGAATGGCTAAGAAACATGTTGTTAGATATAGAGTTGTGGCCACAACTGATGCCAGCCATTTCTATCTTCTATGATAGTGAGGCTACATTGTCTAGAGCTTATAACAAGATTTACAATGGTAAGTCTAGACACATTAGCCTAAGACATGACTATGTTAGGTATTTGATTACTAACGAAATCATTTCTATTGTGTATGTAAGGTCGTGCAACAATTTGGCAGATCCTCTTACAAAGGGGTTGCCAAGAGGCATGATCTATGAGACATCCCAAGGGATGGGATTGAGACCTTTTGTATAGTTAGAAGTAATGGAAACCCAACCTTTTCTTTAGATATTCCCTAATTAAAAGGTTTAATGTGGTAATAACAAGTTACTCTAACTGGGAACTAGTTTATTGTACAAGTAAATTAGTTGTAAGAAGGGTGAGTTATAGAACTCTTAATGACGTTCATTTGGAATGTCACCTATGTGAGCATTTGGAGTGGTGCCGCTCTAACAAAAGTAAAGGTCAACTTTTGTATATGCTCATGAAACAGGATAAGCACATGGCCATAATAGTGTTACCCTTGTTGGTGGTTGTGTTTTAGAGAAGAGACGAGTACGTGTGTGGTGTCTCCGGTTCTAGCTTTGGATCTTGACTCCTAGGCTTAAGCCCGTCATTGATTCGCTTTGAACTTTGACATGCTTACACTAAGTAAAGGTTCAAATCGAAAAGATACCTTTATGTATGCGTTACTTGTTCGAGGCAGGTATTCTCGACTCTTATTGACTAAGTGGGGGATTGTTAGAGTAGTCAAAGAGTAAAGGAAATACCACATTGGTGGGAGAAGGAAAGTGCAAGTTGTTTTTAAGTTTGCTTTCCACTTTAGTTATTGGATAAAGTGGTTAGTGGGCTTTTGGAAAAAGTGTGGGCTATTTAATTTGACATATTAAATCGCACTTAGCACTTTGCGCGACTCGTTCGGATTTGAATTTTTGGCTAATTAATCCGGATAATTATTTGATTTTGAATTTCGTGAAATGACGTAACCCTTCGGAAGGGAACTGCCGTTTTCACTATAAAAGTCTGCAGCCGAATTTCTGTTCCAACGTTCATCTTCATCTCCTTGTTTTCCTTTTTTAAAAACACAAACACAAAAGTCACGAAAGGTGCTGCTTTCAGACTTTGATTGGAGGGACTCCTGGGGGTGGTTTGCCTAAATCCTACCAGCAACGAAGTAGTGGAGGCAAATAAACACTCTAAGGAGAGTGATCAAATCACGCCTTCAATCGTTCTCTTCCATACTGTTTCCCTGACAGAGCCGGGACCCGACGAGGAGGAGACGATAAAGAGCTCGACGCCTGGGGTTGAGTCGGATAAGAAGATCGAGACTTCGATCGTCGCGGGTTTGCAGACGATGTCGGAGTCAGATCGACGGAACTGGGAACTGCCGAAGAAGATACCGCCGACGGGAGATGAGGAGAAGCTCGAGGTAAGGTCGCCAGCAAGCTTGCCTCCCAGTTGCCTGACGATCTTGTCACCGGAGGTCGAGGCGACGAAGAGCTTGACGCCGGGGAACGAGTGAGAGATGGAATTGAAGAAGTGGGCGGCGATTTTGGCGGGACTCCAATTGATGAGAGGGAGGCGCTGAAGATGATGGCTGGGTCGTGCTGGCCTGATCGTCGTCTGAGGAATTGTTTGCCGGAGGAGCCAGAAGCGTCGAGGAAGCAGGAAGCCGGCGGAGGAGGCGGCGACGATGGCCTGCTCCCGCACGAACTGCTTCTCCTTCTTTTCCACGGAGACCAGCAGCAGGGAATTGGAATCAGGCCATGGGTAGCGGCTGCTCACCCTAATGAGCCAAGCCTTGAGCCAAAATGGACGACGGGCCCAATAGTTTTGGGCCGAGAAGAAGATTTTGGGCCATCGTTAGGTCTGGCAGCAGCTGAGGGCAAATGGCCAGGCTTGGGACAAGATATGAAGGTGGAAGAAAGTGTGCTTATTGGGTTAGAATGTGGGCTTCCAAGAGGGTTTAATTCAGACCCACTTGGAGGAGGATGGAGCCCAAAAGACTTGGCTTTCACCACCAAGACCACGGAGGAGTTTGTGAAGCAGTACATTGAAGATTTCAACGACGTTCGTGATGAGAGTGTGCACAGGGAATAACAGTTCTCCGATTCTTATTTTGTGTATTTCGAAAAAGAGGAGGAAGAATTGTTCGGCTATGAAGAACGTGATATGTGTCACGTGGTTCGAGAAGAGTTGAAGAAAGTTGGGGATGCCAAGGAAGAAGTCTTTCGCGAGCTAGAGCGCAACTGGAAACGAAGAAAGCAGAAGGTCAAGAAGACAAAAGTCGACTACAACCTTGAGGACAAGGTCGTTTTCAAGGGGAGGAGATTGTTAGAAACCCAATTTCCGTGTGTTTATCTATTTATTTATAGTAGGATAATTATTATTCGGTTTAGTAGTATTTGGGTAGAATTAGGTTATTTAGTAGGGGTTTCCCTTATTTTACCTATAAATATGTAACTTGGATTTACGTCATAAAAAAGCAAGGAAAATATTAAGAAAAGTATCTATCACTAATCTCTCCCATAAACCCTCTCAAATCTCGTCCTCTCTCTCCCAAGGCCTCCGACCATTCTATCCCAACTCTTCCCATTTCTGTTCTTCAATCTAAATCCCTAATTCCTTATCCCGATCCCTAAATCCCTCTTTGTTACGTATAATCACGAGTGCCGAAGATCAGTCTCTACAAGCCCTAAGAAGTTGATTAGGGGTGGACAACGGGAAACAGGTATTTGGGTATACCCATACCTGTCCCTTTTTTTAGGATTACGGGTACCCAAACCCGTAAATCTTTTTTCGGGATGGGACTTGGGATCAATGATTACTACATTGGGTACCCGCGGGTTACCCGTTACTACCCGTTTGGGTAATATGGGTACCTGTAATACCCATTAGCAAAACTTTCCTATAAAATAGACAATACATAAGCAATTATAAGGCATCACTAACCAATACATCCCCATTACATCTCGTATACAAGATTTCAATTTTATCATTATACTATGTGTAGATTTGTCACAAAAAAATGATTATACTCGTCACAAAGGTCCATGTTTTGATTACAATTCTGTATTTTGTCTGAACTAAACAACACATACAATTTAATATTAATGTTTGAATCAATACTACTTGAGTTTCGATTTCAGAACTAATATTTTTCTATAAAATATAAATAACTTAAGATAAAATATAAATATAGAAGAATCATCACCAAACATATTCCTAGAGTTCAATCAAAGAAATAACAATAAATAAAATGTAGCCTAGTTGGTTATAATGCTCTTTCTTCATTCAAGTGAACAAGGTTTGAACTCCAATGATAACATTTTTAATATATAAACATGAACTGAGTGCAATGACAAAAATGACCTTCCTAAAATCACTCTCAGGCCATGAAATTTGAAATGGGAGAATTCGAACCCATATTTTGCCTTTATGTATCTTGTAGATTGCCCTCCACATATTTCATCGCATTGGAGTTGAGCAGAAAACTGGGCAACATGAGAGGACCACAAGATTCATGAGGAATGAGAGGGAGAAAAGGAAACTGTTCAGGGGTTCGTTTTTCGTTGTGTTATTTTTAAAAAGGATATTGCAGGCAGGCTCGCCCCTGGTATGTTCTAAGTTCTAACAGGTTCAACCTCACAGTTAGGAATGGTAATGGTTCTCGTCAATGGCAGATTGTGAATATCTATTATCTTACCAACAATAGTTCAAGTTTTACTCATATAAGAAACTAAGTAGAATGTCAAAATTATACTCATACCTCATTGAGTTTCATATATTCATGGTTATTCACGAAAAATAATTTCTCTTCATAACTGCAATGAACATATTAACAATTACACATATTAAGTATGGTGTAATTGCACATATTTGTACCCATCTTGTGATGATTGTGACATTTGCATAGTTTGATGAGCAATTTTATGCTAGGTTTGTGCGTGTTTTAGCATGTTTCAGATCTCAGCAGGTGGGATGAGCTTTGGGATCGAAAGTCGAACGAAAGAGGGCGGAAACAAAGCAAGGATGGATAAAAGACGAAGATCACGTGCATGAGAGCATTATTACGGGCGGCAGATCGTGAAGATGGAGCTCTGGCCGTGATGTTGGACTACTTCCAGGAGACTTCAGATGACTCCCAGGCAAGTTAGACATCACGGGCACCCGACCGTGATAATCTACAGCACCCTGTGATGTTGTTAAATGAAACAACGCATTTTGTAGGGAGATCACACGCAAGCATTCGACATCACGGGCGTGATAACTGCCCGACTGATGTATATAAAGAAGAGAGAGCTGAACCTAGCGAGGGAGTTCTAGAGAGAAATTTGGGTCTTCTTCTTCAAATAGAGAGAAAAATTGACGAGCTAAGAGGAGGAGGAAGAAGGTTTTGGCTTACCCAAGGATAGAGGGTTGAAGATTTCTTCACTAAAGGGTCAATCAAGCAACTAGAAGGAAGAGATTCATCTCACCATGGTTTTTACTTACCCTAGTGTAGGATGTGTTAGATTGTAAGAGTTGAACTCTTTGTGTATTGGGTTTGTGATTAATATAATGTTTGAGGTATTTTTCATGAATCTTGGGTGTTGTTTGTTATATCTCAATTAGGGTCAAATTGACCTAGAAGGAGGAAATCCCCTCATAGCCCACAACTTGACAATTTGGGTAACCCCTTCTAGGTCAATTAAGGACAAACCTCAAACATCGAACTAGAGCCATGATTTGATAGTGATTGGTTGCTTTTTGCCATTATGGATCAACTTTCGAGGTATTGGTTTTTGCAATCCTTAGTTGATTGATTAAGAGAGCTAGGTTTCCTAGCTTATTGTGACATCCTTAGTTGATCGATTAAGAGAGTTGAGTTTCCTAACTATTTGCATCCTCCTCATGGTATATAATCACTCTCACACTCTATAGTTCCACTCGTTGATCTTGATACAAGACTAGGGGGAACAATATCCAGATGAAGCCTTCTCAAATAGAATTCCCCACAATTTACTTTTGCTTGCTTGTTTTCAATTGTAGTCCCTTAGATTTCACCACAAACCGTTCGCTAGATAATAAATCAACGATTGAAGTAGGGGTACATAGACCGCCTCGGGTTGATAATTAAACACTTGCCCTATACTACATACGGTCGTCGGTTATACTTAGCCATGGATTGAGAATTGTGTAGTTAGGTTTGAGTCACATGTACTAACATTAAATAAGCGACAAATTATAACAATAAATTACTAACACAAAAAAAATAAATTTCATGAAAATATTATTTACTATGATAAATATTGAATATCTTGAGAAGAATAATGATCATAATAGAATATTGATTCAAGCCTAATTATACATATTTTACCACTATATTGATTGTTTGACGTGGTGTTTAGCATTTCTTTGCCTATATTATGTTAGGTTTTGTTTGTCACATTTCAGGTCCTATGACGTAATTATGACCGAAGAATAATTTTCGAGACAAAGGGAGATAAAAATGGCAAATAGAGGAGCAAAGCACTAGGACCCTGTCATGTTCCATGTCATGACCAAGGACACAGATGTGTTCCAAACCAAGCGCTAATTTTTCCATTTGAAGAACACGACTTCCAACACGACCGTGTCAGAACCTGAGAATTAGAAGCCAAACGACATTTCGCGGGCTCGTGAAGAAGTCATGATCTCCAAAATCGTGACTTTAACATCAAAGCCATGAGTCCATCCCATGATGGCGCGGATTGTTGAAGATTGAAGAACATAGGTTGTGACACAATCATGTGACCATGTTAGGGTTAGTTCTAGAGAGCTAAAAGAACGACGCGCTATGTTGAACACGACCTGATAACACTGTCGTGTTTCGTGGCCATATCCGGGATGATTCCGTAGACTATAAAGCTGTTGGTACTGGTTTTTTAGAAGGGAGAGCTAGAAAAGATGGGTTTTTGCCCAAAACACCCAATAGGAAATTATAGAGTGAGAGAGAGGTCTATGAGGGTTATTGAAGTTGGATTGGAGGTGCCCATCCCCATTAGAGATACAAGATCAAGCCTAGAAGACGAAGATATTGTGCCTCATGTTGTAAAATGTCTCTTCTATATGAATTAGCCATCTTTACTTAGGTTAAAATAAACCCTAGTTATGGATTTTGGATTTTTTTATGCTTGTGACAAACTCTATGATTGTGATTCCCTATTATATATTAAATTGAGTATTTATCATGCAAATTTTGGAAATTGATCTCATCCCTCAATTTGGGGCATTTTGACCTAAGGTAGCCAAAATCCATTTAGGTTAAACACTAACAATATTTCATTATGAGTCTTTGAACGAGTGTGATTGGGTTCACAATGTCGTATTGGGGTTTACATAATTGTGGGAGTTAGTGGTGAACACCTCAATTGTCTAGGTCGGTTGTATGGTAGCCCTCTCCGGGTAGTGTAATTGAGCGAGGTTGGATAACCCTAAAGGGAGTGCAACTTCGTCTAGGCTAGAAGTATAGAATAAATCAATCCAGGGAAGTGATCAACATTGATCGAATGAAGGAACTAGGGGGATTCTTATCTAGTTAGTGGAGTTGTTAGATTAGTGTAGTTAGCTTATTTTCTTAATCACCATTATTGTTTAGCTAGATAGCGAACCGAAGTTGAAGTAACGTTACATCTAGAGACCCTAGGGTTCGATAGTTTTATTACTTGCTTCCAATATACTACACTCGATCGATGGTTATTCTTGGCCTTCGATTGGGAGAATTCTAGGGTATCGGGAAGCGGCTTAGGTTTGTTATTTTACCCATTTTTGTTTGCTTTTCTTTCTACCTTTGGTTTTATTATGTTCGTTTGTGTTTTCTTGTCCCACTCTTCACTCTAAAGGGTGGTTTGTGTTTGTTTGATTTTCTTTTTAGTGTTTTTAGCTATTGAATCATGGATCCTTATGAATTTACCAACATATGGGAGTATCCAACGGCATCCGAGTGTTGTTATTCTGGGACTTCATGGAGCAATCACGATGGTGGAAGCCAAGAATTCGGGTTCCAAGACTAACCTCCATTGTACTATGAACAACCTTACCATTAGGGATTTCAAGAAGTTTCCCCATACTAAGAAAAC